CTGTACTTCCTGAGGAGGCTGAGGAGGTTTGGCATGTCGCCTAGGATCCTCGGCAACTTCTACAGCTGCATCACTGAGAGCATCTTGCTTGACCAGCTGCATCACTGTCTGGTATGACAGCACTATTAATATGGACTGCAAGCACCTGCAGAGAGTGGTAAAGACTGTGGAGAAGATCACCAGGACTCCACTGCCCTCTCTGCAGAGCATTTACAACCACAGGGCGCGTAGAAAAGCTGCCTCCATCCTCAAAGATCCCACCCACCCCCAGCACGGACTGTTCGCCTCTCTACCCTCTGGCCAGAGGTTCAGAAGTGTGAAATGCAGGACCTCTAGACTGAAAAACTCTTTCTTTCCCTCTGCCATCAGACTCCTAAACAGCTGAGGAGTTTATTACCAGGAAATACATCGTGTACTGTCGACCTGTAATGTCTACATTCTCAGTTTGCACATACATAATTGCACAATGACTGTTGACTGCTGCACATGCTGCTCCCATGTAGCATACATTCTCTGTTATATTCTTTTATTCTTTTAATATTATTATATTGCTGCATTTGCTGCTTAAAGTGCCTTAGATTTTGTGTTACTTATCTACTTTATATTTCATTTGTATTTTGTGGCATTCACGTGGACAGCAAAGTAAGAATTTCATTGTACAGGAAAACATGTTTCCTAACTGTGCATATGACAAATAAACACTTTGACCTTTGACCTCTGTGTGAACATACACAAGATACAGTCATGAAAACATTGCTCCATAGTGCTACCAGTGGTCAAAAACTCCTCATGGTAGTTTTAAGGCAAACATATAGCTCTTCAAATACTTAAACACAGTAGTTTGCTGAACACGGTAGTTTGCTGTGGTTACTGTACTTAGCCTTTTAAAAAAATAATAATTTATTGAATGTGCAAATGCCCCATTCTCTGTCTTTTCCAGACAGTTCAATCCTTTCTATAGGGAGAAGTGAAGAGTCAAAGTTCACATACAACCTGACAGGAACGTCCTGGTTCAGACATGTCTCAGTATTGTTATGCCCAGCTCCTTGTATTCACAGTATATTCTCAGGACAGTTATCTGTTCTGATCAGCAATAATCACACATTGCTGATTATCACAGAAGCCATCCACAGTCTGTTGTCTCAGTGCATACTCTGATAACCCTCCATAACCCTACAGCTACCTGTTCCTTTGGCCAAATCTCTAGAGGTGTCTCCTCTAAAGCTGGTAGTTCTGGCAGCTCCTCTGGGAAGTTGAGATGAGCTAGAGATTTCACAGAATGAAGACTCACAGCAGCTCCTCTCACATTCACAGTTATTATTTCCACTCGCTGCCAGTGATTTACTTGCCAGATATTTTACAAGGAAAGATGACCCAAAAGCACTGTTATTAAGTAAACACTCCACATTCAGCAAACACACTGTAAATGGTGGACATTCACTGGTCCAAGGGTTGCTTTTTATCTTTCAAACATGTAGGTGTTAAACACGTGGCTCCACCTCTCAAACTCAGTTATATTACTCTAACTGCCTAAAGCCCCTTTCTTTTCCATTATTCTGATGGCATCTGAATGTGTCAGCTTCACGTCTGAATGAGCACCCTGGTCGTGTTTCCATTCAAGATAATGACAATCTTGCATGTATACGTGGCTCTCTTCATCATGGTTGTGGGTATGTCTGAATGAAGCTTTGAGGAATCTTCACATAAAAGGGACCTAGATTATGTCTGAATGACAGAAAGCCACTGCTTTAACAAACTGATGAAGCCAGTACCTAACCCATGTCTGGAAAGGCCTTATGTGTATTTCCTTCCAGCTGTGTTTCAGCAGCGTACCCTGAGTGAATTAGTCCATGTAACGTGCTGCAGACCACTGTGGGGAGGTCTTAATATGGACTGCAAGCACCTGCAGAGAGTGGTAAAGACTGTGGAGAAGATCACCAGGACTCCACTGCCCTCTCTGCAGAGCATTTACAACCACAGGGTGCGTAGGAAAGCTGCCTCTATCCTCAAAGATCCAACCCACTCCCAGCACGGACTGCTCAATTCTCTGCCGCTGAGGAGTTTATTACCAGGAAATACATCGTGTACTGTCGACCTGTAATGTCTACATTCTCAGTTTGCACATACATAATTGCACAATGACTGTTGACTGCTGCACATGCTGCTCCCATGTAGCATACATTCTCTGTTATATTCTTTTATTCTTTTAATATTATTATATTGCTGCATTTGCTGCTTAAAGTGCCTTAGATTTTGTGTTACTTATCTACTTTATATTTCATTTGTATTTTGTGGCATTCACGTGGACAGCAAAGTAAGAATTTCATTGTACAGGAAAACATGTTTCCTAACTGTGCATATGACAAATAAACACTTTGACCTTTGACCTCTGTGTGAACATACACAAGATACAGTCATGAAAACATTGCTCCATAGTGCTACCAGTGGTCAAAAACTCCTCATGGTAGTTTTAAGGCAAACATATAGCTCTTCAAATACTTAAACACAGTAGTTTGCTGAACACGGTAGTTTGCTGTGGTTACTGTACTTAGCCTTTTAAAAAAATAATAATTTATTGAATGTGCAAATGCCCCATTCTCTGTCTTTTCCAGACAGTTCAATCCTTTCTATAGGGAGAAGTGAAGAGTCAAAGTTCACATACAACCTGACAGGAACGTCCTGGTTCAGACATGTCTCAGTATTGTTATGCCCAGCTCCTTGTATTCACAGTATATTCTCAGGACAGTTATCTGTTCTGATCAGCAATAATCACACATTGCTGATTATCACAGAAGCCATCCACAGTCTGTTGTCTCAGTGCATACTCTGATAACCCTCCATAACCCTACAGCTACCTGTTCCTTTGGCCAAATCTCTAGAGGTGTCTCCTCTAAAGCTGGTAGTTCTGGCAGCTCCTCTGGGAAGTTGAGATGAGCTAGAGATTTCACAGAATGAAGACTCACAGCAGCTCCTCTCACATTCACAGTTATTATTTCCACTCGCTGCCAGTGATTTACTTGCCAGATATTTTACAAGGAAAGATGACCCAAAAGCACTGTTATTAAGTAAACACTCCACATTCAGCAAACACACTGTAAATGGTGGACATTCACTGGTCCAAGGGTTGCTTTTTATCTTTCAAACATGTAGGTGTTAAACACGTGGCTCCACCTCTCAAACTCAGTTATATTACTCTAACTGCCTAAAGCCCCTTTCTTTTCCATTATTCTGATGGCATCTGAATGTGTCAGCTTCACGTCTGAATGAGCACCCTGGTCGTGTTTCCATTCAAGATAATGACAATCTTGCATGTATAAGTGGCTCTCTTCATCATGGTTGTGGGTATGTCTGAATGAAGCTTTGAGGAATCTTCACATAAAAGGGACCTAGATTATGTCTGAATGACAGAAAGCCACTGCTTTAACAAACTGATGAAGCCAGTACCTAACCCATGTCTGGAAAGGCCTTATGTGTATTTCCTTCCAGCTGTGTTTCAGCAGCGTACCCTGAGTGAATTAGTCCATGTAACGTGCTGCAGACCACTGTGGGGAGGTCCTTCATGCCCAGTTCAGACAGACATGTTGACTTTGGTAAAATCTGCACTGACTGATCACTTTAGGTCTAATTTAGCTCAAGTCACATAAAAATGGAAAGTACTATATATTTAGCTGATTGCAATGTTTCCTATGCCTTCCAAAATCAGATTTTTACACTGGCAACATAACATGACAACCATCACTGCCTGTGTTATAATAATTGCCAGTTCCATCTGTTATTCATATAAACCACAAGATTATCACTTTATTTTGTTGCTGTCTGGTTCTCTAGTGAGTATGCCATTTAAGCATGTGGTAAAATATTACGATTATACACATCTTGACAGCACACTCAGACGCCGCCTACCTTAAATGAACAAATTCTTTCCACTTATTGCAACCTGTAATTGGGTCCAATTTTATCCTGAATGTTTCACTAAGCTTTCATCTCATATGAAGATCCTTCTAAAATTTGATGCTGAAAAGCGTGGTTGAAAACATACCTGATTCATCAATAGAATACTCAACCTACTGTACAATTAAAAATACTTAGTGATCTCTCAGCACGTAAAGGCTGAATTTACTGAAGAAATGGTATAGACCCCAAGGAGTACAGGAGTGTAAGAAAGACGGGGTAATTAAAGTGTGATGATAGGGAAGGAAACTACACATAACTGCTCTCAAGCCTAGTTTTAAAATGTTTTAACAACGTGTCTGTGTAGCTGAAGGTTCAATTAAATACAGCTGAAGAATTTTAGAGTTTTCATTTTTACAGAGTAAAATGTTGCATGCACTGGCGGTGTAATAACTTCAGAAATAGCTTTTGTTTTGTTCCTTCAGCTCTTTGTGTCGCTCTTCCAGGCAGAGACAAAAACAACAACAACAACAACAACAAAAAAAACAACAGTGCCCAGTAACTCTCAACACTTGACAAAGCAAGGAGACATGGGCAAAATTTCTGTGAAATTAGTGAAAATAAGATGAGGGAAGAGGTAGAGTGAGGCAGAGGGAGGAGGGACGAGAGACGTCCCCCACCCACAAGGTTGGAGAGAGTCAGCATGGTGACTCATGCACTGGGAGAGAAGGGGAGGACCCACATGCAAAATATTTTAAATTCTCAGGCTGAGGAGGTTTCACTGAGGAAATAAGACGGAGCCTAGGTGAGCTGTTGGTCAAACAAGAGCTCTAACTCAACTGACCAGCCAAAGCTTGTGCCTATTTAATATTAATAACGAAAATCTTCTACAAGGACCGACAACTTCTGAACACAAAAGTCAACTGCAACTGTGTGAAAATCCAGAGCTTTTGTATTTTTAAAAAAATGTCAAAAGTAAAGTTGAACACAGTGACTATGGTGGTAACACTGCTCCTGTTAGCAGAGACATGCGCTCAGATTTCAAAGAAGAAATCGACATCTTCAAAGCCTGTCAGGGCTCAGTGCTGCGATGATGTGCGCGCTCTTAAAGTTCAGGTGGCCAATATGACCAGTCTCCTCGAGGAGCTGAGTCGCAAGCAGGACACAGACTTGAAAAACGTTGCGAGGCAAATAATGGAGCTGGACAAGCAGAGCCAGCAGCAAGACGCCCGTGTCACCGAAGCAGAGAGCAAATACTCAGAGATCAACAATCGTGTGGAGATCATGCAGCTACAAACGGTACAGTCTGCTCCCAAGACTTCATCAGGTAAGCATTAACACTGGTATTGCTAATAACAGAGTAGGAATTAAATGCTATACATCATAAAATTTTGTTTACAGCTTACTGATGTTATAACAATGTAAAAATTGCAGAAATAGGCTTTGAGCTTAACAATGTTTCACTCAAAAGAATTTACATACAAGCAACTTACATTAGCAAAACAGTCCTGTAGAGTTTGTAAAGCCTTCACACATGGTACAACATCCATCAGTGACTCGAGTGCATATCTGACATGCTCTTACTGTTTTTCTCTTGTCTGTTGAGAAGTTGCTGTCACATTCATACTCCTGGTGTTAAAATTGTTTCCACACATGGACAGAGAATTTAGATGTGACTGAAATTAAAGTGTACATTTTGTCTAGCAAACTTTTCAGCTTGTCTCAGTTTTTCTTTGAATAAAAAAAGCCACTGACATTCTGTGAAGTTAAATTCAGATACATTACAAAGTCATCATTTAATTGGAAAACGTATGTATTTTTAGAATTGATAAGATGAACTCTTACACAAACAGTGCCTAAACAGTTGATAATGATAAGCACTTTTATTGGCCAAGGATGTTACACACAGCGCCAACTCACACACACGCACACACACCGATGATGGCAATGTCCATCGGGATCAACTTGGGGTTCAGTGTCTTGCACATGGACACTTCGACATGTGAACTGAGGAGAATGAGAATTGAACTGCTGACCTTCCGGTTGGGGGTTAACCATTCGACATCCTGAGCCACTGCCGCTCCCCGGTTCTCAAACTGGCAAAATATTTTTCACACAACACAACATGCAGTACTTATTTTAGTTGTAAAAACTGTAATCAACCTTGTCTATTGCTTGTGGGGTCTCAGACAACTGTTGAATTGGATGTCAGGTAGATTATAGTGCACATACTTAACTGAACTGCCCAGCAGCAGTCAAAGCATTCATTTGGACCTGTAGGAGCCCATCTGCAAGGCTATCAACAAAAGGTTCCATCAAAGCCAAATCCTCTCCATCATTCAGCTTAACTTTAACACACCACTAATCAGCACTGGGCAGCACAGGGAGGTTAACCAGGCATGACGTAGTTTATTATTGCAATACCTTAACTGTGTGGTCTAGCAGGGCCATGTTTATGTCAGTGGCAAAGGGAACAGAGACCTTTTTAAAACTTGGGTAAATCAGAGAGAGGAGAGAAGAGCGGAATGAATGCAAAGATTAGAAGAAGTGGGCAGTTTCCATCTTGATTTCTTTAACACTGGATATTGGGCTCACTGCTCCATACTGATCTCACAGCCCTATTAATGGCACAACCATACTGTGTGACATAAGTAAAATAGGAGACTGCAAAAATCTAAGCCATGTTGTGCATATCACCATCTGCTCTGATCTCTTTTGCTTTGGGTGCGGGTAAAGGTCATTTTTTTTTCATCTGTTCAATCACTCAGATGTCCAGAAAGCTGCTAGAATTTATGACACGGGATTTTTAAAAGCTGCTCGTGAAACTGCAGATGGTTTTATCATAATGTAAGATACTGTTTTTTTCAGAAGCTCTATATGACTGTGCATCACTCTATAATAAGAACTACAGGATCTCTGGCGAGTACAAACTACCTAAAGATGAGTTTCTGGGTGTACCTGAGCTTTCTGTAAGTTATACTTATTGTACGTCTTGTGTATAGCATATATTCTTTATGAATTATTTGGTAGAGTATCATGAGCTCTTCCTATTCTATCTACATTACATTTACATGATGGTAAATGCTTGCAGGTGTTCTGCGATATGAAGACAAATGGAGGTGGATGGACTCTCATCCAAAGGCGCAAAATCGGCATTGTATCATTCAACCGTGACTGGAAGCAGTACAAAAATGGATTTGGATCTGTCCGCGGAGACTTCTGGCTAGGCAATGACCACATCTTCCGTCTAGCAAGGCAGCCCAGTGTGCTCAGGATTGAGCTGGAGGTAGGTGTTGGAAAGCATGGAAGCCTGGCTGAGACACTAAATGCCTCGAGGTTTACAACCTGCATGGTTTTATGCATTGTAAAATCATACATAAACCATTTCACAGCCAAACGGTATAAACACAGAATCAATCAATTCCTATGGGTACAATTAATAATAAATCAAAACAGAGACAGAGAGAGCCAATATTCTATGTTTCTAAAGCGGCCTCCTTCTTAATCATGTTATATGTCACTTGTAATGCAGGACTGGGAAGGAGAGACACGCTATGCTCAGTATGGATTTTTCACTTTGGGTAATGAACTCAACAGCTACAAGCTCTTTATTGCCAACTACAGTGGGAATGCTGGAGACTCCCTGCACTACCACAACAACACCAACTTCAGCACCAACAACCAGGACAACGACAAATGTCTGGATCACTGTGCTTCCCTGCGCAAAGGTAAATTATGAGAGCAGACCAACTAAAATAACCCATGCAGTTATTTACAAAAAGATACAGACAGGAATTTCCCTCCAATTAATGCTTTTCCCTCACTTTCTTCCAGGTGGGTATTGGTACAACTGCTGCACTGACTCAAACCTGAATGGTGTTTTTTACCGCCACGGTGAACACACAAAGAACTTAGATGGGATCACCTGGTACAAATGGCATGGATCCCTCTACTCCCTCAAGAGAGTGGAGATGAAGATCCGGCCAGCAGGTTTTCACTCTTAAGTGCTTCAACCGCATGTCCTGGATCACGAGCACACGCTTGAATGGTGAGAGAGCTGTTACCTGTCCAACTAAACTGCGAAAGGAATGAAAATGCTGTTTGTGATGGTATGGTTAAGTTTCTGTCAGATGAATGTGTAATGTAACTTAACCATAAGTTTCTGTCAGATGAATGTGTAATGTTTCTGCCGTGTTTGATTGTAAATTGCCACTGATTTTGTGTATTTATCAGCAAAATATTTTGCTTCTTAAAAGCTTTGATAGATGATGGGACACTGATAGACCAGTGTCCCATATTGGTAACTGGATTTTGACTTCTTTTCTCATTTGTACTGAAAGCAATAGGATGAATGTTTTAGTCAACACTAGATCAAGAATCAGTTCAAACTGGCCTGGTTCACATATTTAACAAGGAGAGTTGTTGGAATGGGACCAACCACCGAAGGCATTTCCTATGAATTATGCAGCATTTAATTGTAAAACCCTTACAAGTGATGATGGAAATGTGTAATTTGTAAAATGTGTACAGCTCTGCAATTATGTTGTTTTAATATGTGTGAGAAAATAAACATAAAAAAAAAAACGATGCATAAACTATCTCATACAGATAGTTCATTATGCTAAATAGCATAGCTTAAATATAACAAACTCGATACAAGTATAAAAGTAAATCAAGGCCCTGTGTTCATTCATGTCCAATAATGGCTGCATATTTGCCTTGAGCTACCGACATCTGACTCCTGGGTCTTTACCTGACATTCTGCCCAAAAGTCCCAGGGTATCTAAGACAAATGCAGGAATGTCTCCATAAAGGCCAACATGCTTCATTTAAGAAACCCAACCGCTGCAAATGGAATTTCAAGTTGTTTTTCATGGGAGTTAAACGTTTACTGAATAGGGCTGCCAAAGGACGCAGTTATTGAAAATGAATGTGATGGTCAATGTGACTTGACCTCTGGGTTCATTCAACAGCTATTAAACTCAATCATCTATGGTGTGGAAAGAGACTCCAGTATCTATAAGGGTATAAAATGTTTCTTAAATTTCTCAGATGGGGGAATTCACATATCTGATCAAGTCATAACAAAAGTAGAACATCCCAAGATTAGCAAAGGTGGCGATTACATGGTCTAAGTGTTTATGCTATTGAGTTCACCCCCCCCCCTTCACATTTCAAGCCCTAACTTGCTCTTCATCAGATGTGGAGACATCTTCTGCTCTTCATGAACTTTATCAGGTACAGTAGTGATTGTCAAATATACGTAAAAATTCTAAATTCATAAAACAGAGATGACAAATTCAAGTCCATTTAAAGACAATGTAGGAAGTACTAAAAACACCATATGCCAAATGCTCAATTAATCAATCAATTATTAATATTCCTCTGTTGTTGGGAGCACTGGGGGAAAAGTGACAAATGTCCTGGCTCTATCCAAAGTTACAGAACCTGAGAATATAGCTTGGCAACAAAATAATTCTTTCCAGTTACAAAATTTGTACCATTATGAGTATGTAACTTACTCAGATTTAATACTCCATATGATGGAATTCAAAGAACAATTTCTTAAATAATTATCTACAAACAAATGACTCATCGGGTACTAAAATGTCAGTGACGATGCCTCTGCGTCATCAAAAAGTGGGCATCAGATACGAGTGTATTTTTTTTACTAAAGCAGCCATGACTCATTAGAGCCAGGCTTATATAGTGCTTTTTGCACATCAGTCTCTGGATCTTTACTGGGAAATCCTGAAGAGGTGAGAACCAGATGGGGATATTGGAAACACCAGAGCGCCAGCTCCCATCATTCATCACCATCAAGGCTCCCAAAAAATTGAAAACAGACCTCTGAGAAACACAAGTCCAGACTTTCATAGATGAAAAGGAGGCGAGCATCCAATTAGATGCCTGGAAAACAGATTTTTCTAGCCTATGCCAAGCACACAGAAATAAAGAAGGATGAGAAAGGGGGATGGAAAAGATGACAGAAGATATCAAAGGGTTATGGGACAGGAGGATAGGTTAATATATCAATATAATTTCATTGTGCATTTATTAAAAGTTGATGTTAATGTTTGTCTTTAAGCAATAACTTCTAATGTAACAACTATCAATCAGAGGTACATGTCAATCCTAATTTGTGTGATGACAATAAATCTAGTAAATGTAACAAAATAACTTATCTCCCACTGACACTGAATTATGTTATTATCTCGAAGTTCCCAAGTGATGATCTGTCATAAACGAATCCCAACTTTCTAGACATGCAGTATAACAAAAATACAACCAGTTCCTTTACAGTAAAAACATAACTGAATTAAAAATAGTTTATTGTTTAAAAGCTGTTTAACTTGAACCAAAGGAGAATGTACATAACCAAACAAAAAGTTGGAGGACTATCAACTACAGTCATTTCTTATTTGCATAGTTTATGTAAAGACAAAACTTGTACTTCACTGTTTGCAGTACAATCCTATGGTGAAGAAAGACTGAGCTCAACCTCTGCTTATAAAAGGTCATAGTTCTCCTATTTACAAAAGCAAAATAGTTTGCTTCTGAGTTTTTCAGACCTACCTGATAAGAGACTCCAGGATGAGAGGAGAAGGACCTTTCTGAAACTCTAGTTCTTTATAATGCAGAGCCTTGGCGTAAGCGCGACACTTGGCAGCTCTCTCACCGAGCAGTACGATACCGTTATCATCTCTCAGAGGCAGAGGGCCCTGGAAAAGGAAACAAACTGTATAAAGTAACCAAAGTTTGTTTTCTGAACAAAATAACAGCACACTTGTTACTTGTCTGTGACCTCTACTCTTCTCTGTCAGCAATTAGTATGGTTTGCACCATCAAGACAACTCATTATTCTGCTAATGTCTCACTGTATTTAATATTTAACAACTATAAAGAAATTCCTGCAAATTATTGACATAAGATTGACATAGCATTTCATTGATGTTCATTAATGTGTCTTTGTGACACAGTACAAAAAGATATGTGGGAACCTACAAAAAACATCTTATACCCTTCGTTCCACTGGCTTTGAGTAGGATATTTTATGTGTTTCTACTGCAGCCTCACAGCAAGTGGTCCCTGCTGATAGGCCAACCACAGTCGTCTCTGCCTTCAGCGTAACAGTAATTCGCACAGCATGTGTGGTTACAGTGAAGTGGAGACAAGGGGCTATCGAGAAAGCCTTTGCAAGATATTGCTGTGCTTTTAAGTGTGATCTCCTAAGTTCCTGTACTTTGTTTTATTTAAATAATAGCAACCAGAATGTTTTCTGATCAGCTTCCTTTTGTGACACAGGTATCCCAGCTGTACTGAACTGTAGAATTAGTGGCTCCAAAAATATGAGGACAAATGATAAATTGACTGACTCTATGCAGGTTCTTTTACTGAACTCCGCTTTGCATCTGGTTCACTGTTTAACTTTTCTGACAAAGTCATAAATTTAAAACACATCACAATAATGACCTTAAGCACAACTTAGTCTGGAGATATGCTGATGACAACAAGATATAAAACTGAGCCCTTTGAGCCAACATTATTTCCCCAAAGACAACAGTAAAACACATGAGGTGTGAATGCTGTTACTTTACAAGCTAGAGACACATGTAAACACAGCCTGTTGTTGTATTTCAGCAACATGTAGTGCATGTAATGTCATGCACATTCAATACACAAGTACATTTTGCACTTGAGTCAGTAATGAATACAAATTAACCCTCATAGATTTATGATGGGCACTGAATTTAGAGAAAACATCTTGAAACATAGATCAGCAGGCACTCCAATAAAACATAATGTGTGCAATCCTTCAGTATAAACTGCATCACAGTAACTCTGTGGCTTAATGTAGCTGTTGCAGTTTACTGCTGACCTTGTCACTATGCTCCATGAACTCTGCCAGGTTGAGCAGAGTTTGTGTGACCTCAGCAATGTCCTGGGAAGTGAGCGCTAACTCAATGCTGCGAATGAGCTCATCCTGCTGGTCCTCATTCAGTTCAGACCAACAAGACAGAAAGGCTGCGTTGAACAGGTCCCTGTAGACAAAAAAAGCATTTATGCATTTAAACAAAAACAGTTTGTTTACATATTTTGCAGAAGCAGACTTTAAATGAATCTGGCAAACTAGCAAATCAGTAAGTGGAAAGATTATTCTATAGCTTGTAAACAATTATTCACTTTATAACCAAGTGCAATGTTGTGACAGACTTTCACGTCTGGAAATTACTAGAGCTACCCCTAATAGTCGAATAGATGAGTCGTCTGTGT